AGGTTGCAGGACACATTAGGAACACATAGGACTTTGGATAGATTAACAGATGAGGAAAATTTAACATTTCCCATCCTTGCAATGGCTGATAGAGAGCCATCTGCAACTTTTACATTTTTGTCCACTGCACATGGTTTATATTAAAAGAAAAGATTTGAAATAGAGGTCGTATGGTCTGTATCCCCTGAGTCAATGACCCATGTATTTTTAGGTTTTCGAGAACAAAAAAAATGATGAAGTGGTACCATTCTAGGCATAAGAAGAATAGGAAGATTCAGGGTTGGAATTTTTTCGAGTAGTTAGAAGGTTAAGGAGTTGCTCTATTTGTTCCTTTGTGAAGGAAGGGTGCTTCAAATTGACTTGTGGTTCTTGTTGAGTCTCAGTCATAGTTGTATGTAGAGCCTTCTCAAACTTTTTCTTTCCTGCTCCTGGGTTTCCCATGAATTTTCCAGCAAGTTTCCCTTATGTCCCATAGTTTCTTGCAGTGATCACACCGTAGTATTTTTCTTCTCATCACTTCTAGCCACCATTTCTGAAGAGTCTCCAGGTTCATCATTATGTACCGGAGTATTGTACATAACCTTCTTTCTACTGTCTTCCATCCCGATCTCAGAAAAAATTTCTCTGATTGAAGCAAAAATTACTAAAAAGAGAAGTTAAACGTTCCATAAAACAAGAAGAAAAAGATAAAAAAGAAAAAGGTACGAAAATTTTTAACTTGTATACATTGTTAGGAAGCCTACTGGAAAACCCATAGTTTCCAGCAAGTTTCCCTTATGTCCCATAGTTTCTTGCAGTGATCACACCGTAGTATTTTTCTTTTCATCACTTCTAGCCACCATTTTTGAAGAGTCTCCAGGTTCATCATTATGAACCGGAGTATTGTACATAACCTTCTTTCTACTGTCTTCCATCCCGATCTCAGAAAAAACTTCTCTGATTGAAGCAAAAAGTACTAAAAAGAGAAGTTAAACGTACCATAAAACAAGAAGAAAAAGATAAAAAAGAAAAGGGTACGAAAAAATTTAACTTGTATACATTGTTAGGAAGCCTACTGGAAAACCCAGATTTCGGCAGCCTGCTCCCAAACTTGGCAGCCAGCTGAAATCTGGAAATTCAGTCAAGGCATCTGAAATCCAACTCTCTCTTCTCTTAGCACAAAACACTTAGACAAAAGACCAACTTGCAGACAAAATAACAAATTGTTAAAAAGTAAATTTATAAGAGATTTTAATCACATTATAAATTTATGATAAATTTATTTTACAAAACCAAGTGTTCGTTATTTTGTAAAGGAAGCATTGAAATATCACTCGAATTTATACTAGTTTCTACGCGTGAAAATAAAGATAAAATATCTTTTATCTTGCATTGAAATATGTAAACAAGTTGAGCTGAAGATTGTTGATCCGTGTCACTACGTGACAAATTAAAGACAAACCATACTGCCTCAGTCAAGTGGAACAAAGCAAGCAGATCAAGCTACGGTCAAGATTCATTTCCTCAGCCAACGGTGGAGATGCAATGATCAAGTCTATAAATACAGAAGGAGTGTGGGATTACACAGTGTGGTAAAATGAGAGGAGCCAAGTGGATAGAAGGAAATCATACTACACGAAGATATCCAGCCAGTTGATTTCCCTTCTACACTTCGGCTACCACCCCACTTGTGTAATGTTCTTAGACTAGCTACAATTCATACAAATCTATAGAGCTTAGACTAGTTGGTAGTTTAGAAATACGCCCATGTATTCTAGACTAGTGTTAGACATTCTAGAGGGCTTGGTGATCAAATCCAGAAGGTGAGAAAGGTCAAGGACATGAGTAGCTCTTGGCGAGTCAATGCCATTAGTGAAAAACCTTGGGAGGACTGAGTAGCTAGGAACGGTGTTCAAGTTCCTTGTGAAAAACCTCACAACCTACACCTGGGCCAAGGGTAGGTTGGGGCACTAAATGTAATGGGATATTCATTTAGTGGAAATCCATCTGAAATAGGTTGAAATTGGATGTAGGAGGATTACACCATCTCTGAACCAGGATACATCATGTGTCATCTTTTACATTCTGCTCCTAATACATATTCAGTACTCACTCACCTTCACCACTGCATAAGAAAAACAACTTGCCCATTTAAATTGTCTAGTGAACTATCCCAGTTCACTGTGACTCATCTCCTTGTTATCTGTTCTTCAAAGAGACCTATTTCCATTGGTCTAAATCCTTCATACACTTGTGTGAGACTAGTTCTAAAGTCAGTTAAGTTGTTAGAGTAAAGTTCATTGCTATACTCTAACCAAACGAACATAAATACTTTCTTAGCAACCTGCTCCTAAGGATCAGCAGCCAGCTCCCAAACCGACTGGTAGTTGCCTCCTTCAGGATTTCAACAGCCTGCTCCTAGAGTCCATATGTCTCTGACAAACACAATTGTTCAATGTTTAACCCATCTCTCTCACAACTAAAAGGGTCATAATCTTTGTTTCTATACAGTGTCATCCTCTTGAGGTCAAGACTTCCGTTACATATATCAATATCTCTCAAAAGATATTGGAACATATCCAGTTAGAGGAAAAGGGGTTGAAAACCGAAAAGATTTAAAAGTCTATTCACCCCCCTAGACTTTTACCTCACTTGGAACTCAGTTGGTATCAAGGGCACTCATCAGAGAATCTATGCAGGATTAAGGTAGATAGTAATCTACAAACACGGGACTATGGGGTGTTTTGGAACTGATTCTGCTTTTGCTTCTTTTTTAAAGCAAAAAGAGATTAGAATCGGTTTTCAGAAGTTGGTACCTCTCATCTTCTAAGGGTATGTTTGGCATAACTAGCTGAAAAGATACTTTTGTGGGCTTTTTAGTAACTGTTAGCTTTTAGTCACTGAAAATATATTAAAAAGAAAAGGTGGTAACTGTTTGGTAAAAAGCTGACTGTTTGATTTAGTTTGGTTTGGTATACAAACTGTTAGGACTAATTAATATTAAAAGTCATGGGCTTTTCTCAGTTGCTACTCCCTGTAACATCTAAAAAAGATCTTTTATTTTTTGAAAAACTCTTAAAAATTGTCATGCCAAACAAAAAACTAGAAGCTTTCAGAGACTTTTTGAATAATACAAAAGCTAGAAGGCAGAAGCTTATGCCCGCCAAACATAGCCTAAAAAAACTGATTCTGGGAGTAAATTAGAGCACCAGAAGTGCTTCTGAAATTTCACCCAAACACTCTAATTTCTGCTTCTGCTCCCTGAAGGAGCATAATCAGTTTTGAGAATCAGATCCAAACACCCCCTATATTGCTAAAAAAAATGATAATTGAGTTGTTTCAACGAGCTGGTGGAATTCGAGAAGGCTTTTGTAATATAAACACATAGAATTTGATTCAAATAAATACACTCCGGATCGGAGTATATTTGTATTAATAGATCCGACCCGAAAAGACAAGAAAATTTAAGTCCAACTAAATTACTACAGTGTAGTAGTTTATTTAATTCATACTTTACATAAAATCGCATAAAAATTACTACTATGAAAATACACTAAACTAATACTACCTCCGTCCCGGAGACAACTTCCCACATTCCTTATTTGGATGTCCCAAAATAAACTTCCCATTTCCCTAAATGGAAAGTTATCCTACATCAAAACAGTGCCAAACAGTGTCGAAACAGTGCCAAACAGTAAAATTTACGCCTCAGTAACTTTATTTCCTTAAAATGTGTGAAAGTCAACCCGGAAACTTGTTTCCGGGACGGAGGGAGTATATATATATGGTGTACATTTTTTAAACGGCTAGTTTGATAGTTTGTATGTTAGTTTGAAACCATGACGAAAATATTACTCTCAAGTTTTGAATGCACAAAAATAAGCAACTATTTGCAATGTGGAGCTCTAGAAATGTCGCTGACTATCGTGAGAGTGCCGTCACCATCGCACGCCTTCTCCTAGGTCGTCGTTGCATATGCATCACGGAAACCGCGCCGTCTTCAACTTTTTTTTTAAATCGCCACCACCTGTTTCCCAAAACCTCACTGGAACGAAGATCTAAATCCCGATCTACTTGATTGTCATATTTGGACACATCCTCCGTCATAACGGTTGTTGCAGGTCGGTCACGACTAGGGTTGACCGGTCCTCAGTGGCCGCTCTAAGGGGCTGGCACAAGGGTTGAGAGGAGCAAGGGTGGCTGGATGAGAGGGGAATAGGGCCAGGGAGGCGGGCAGGCTGGATATGGGGCTGTGGTTGTTTTTGGGGAGGGAGCAGGGGTAGTGTCACTGTAGACAGGGGTGGAAGTGACACAGGGAGGGGATGGATAAGGGGGGTTGGGGTGTGGTCGCCGGCGCTTGTGTTCGCCGGAGGTGACCCAGAGGTGTTGGTCGCGGGCGGTGGTAGGGGGTGGTGGTCAACCGGTAACTGTAATTGGTTGAGTTGGATAACTATAACTGATCAAATTGAGTAACTATAACTGACGAGACGACTATTTGTAATTTACAGATCGGATAACTACAACGGTCAGACCAAGTATAGTAACTGAAACTAGAGGGTCACGTAATTGTAACTGGCTTGTCGGTTAACTCTAACTGGCGTGTCGGGTAAATGTAACTGGTCAGGTTGGGTCTGGTAAGTGTAACTGGTCAGATAAGGTAATTGTAACTTGGAGGGTATAAAAGTCATATGGATCTCTTTTTTTGGAAACTTTTACGTTGTGTGCTACTTTTGTCCATGAGTTTTCATTTAGTAATATTCATGATATGATGATAGTCCCTTAAAATTTTGGAGGCAAAATGATCTTATGACAAGTTTATGCTAGCAATCACATATCAAATAAAATTTAATAATTACCCTAAAAGGGAGTAAAACATAGATAAAATTCCAAAATAGGAGTTCTTATTGATTGCTTCCCTAAATAGGAGCTATCACTTATTTGGTCCGTATCTTTTGCCAATTTTACCCCTTTTTAAAATTATTTCACTATATCCGGTCATCTTACTTTTTATCATGTTTGTACGCAACCTCTTACCTTTTCACTTTTCAGCTCCCTCCTCTCCCTCATCCATTTTCAGATCTGATTTCTCTCACCTCTCCATCTCCATGCGGCAGATTACGAAGACTCCCACAACAAGTATTTTCCTCCAACTCCGGCCATCGGCAGACGATGGCAATCCTTACAGGTAAGTTTTAATCTGTTGCTCTTCATTCTTCTTCTTCCTCTCCTCTTTTTCTAGTCAATTCCCCTTCTTCTTCTCTTCTATTAATTCAACGGCGGTGGAGCTTTATGTTTTCATAGAGAAGCTGGTGGCTTGTTGTTTGATTAGGAGCAATTGATTTTTTTTTTTGCTTTAATTTTCTTCTTTCCTAGACGATCTGTTTTAAGTTTGTATTGATTTTTTTATTTTCTCTTTCCAGACTTTTAATTTCTTTTTTGACTTAGTTCGGTTGAGTTTTAATTTGGTTTTCTGTTTGTTTTTCTTCGTTTTCTTCTTTTCATTTCTATTTTGAAAGATTGACTTTTTATTTATATTTTACATTATATAATATAATTTTTACATTTAATTTCAGTCAATATTTTTGTACAAATTATTTTTGGTTTGAATATGAAATTGCCATAATTGCCATTTTAAAGTGTTTTATGGTATTAAGATTGAAATATTACTCCTTTGTAAATAAAATATTAATAATGTCATGTTTTTTTCATGTAAAAACATTATTCCATACATATTGCCTTTTTTTTATAACTCCACCAAGTTTGCAAATAACATGTCCATAATGCCATATTTTTTAAATAAAAAGAGATATTTTCGCAATTTGTGCCACTTGTATATGACACTATTTCCATGACTATGGCAATATATGGCACTTGCAAGTATACTATTTATGATGTCATTTAATGTCAAAATGACAATGAAAACTCTTCTATTTTAATATGAATGCCATTAAGATGACATTCAAGAGATGAGATGTCATTCTAAAGCATTCTTAATTTCCAGATCTGAGATGATGGAACCAAAAGTGATCTGATGACATTGTCATATTTAAAATGAATAGGGATAGCAATTTCATGGAATCAATTCCCAAACAGTTTCATATCTCCATGGAAGCCCTGAATTTTCGTATCTCAAATTTTCAGATATAAAATATTATTGTTCAATGTAATATCTGGAAAAAATGAAATAAAATCATTGTTTGAAATAAAAAATCAAAAGATGAAAATAGAGCAGGGATGAGAATGAAGAGATGGCCGGTGGTGATCCTGGAAGGAGGCAGCGGCGAAGATGGTGGTGGCAACAGCAGAGACCAACGGCGTCCGACGGCGTCTGACAACGGTGGAGACCGGTGGTGTCCAGTGATGGCAGATATTGGTGGCATCCGGCGGCGGAGTTCGGCGGCGGCGTCTGGTGGCGGCGTCTGGCGGCGGTTAGGGGCGGCTGTTGGCGGATACTGGTGCACCCCTGGGTGTTGCCGGTGGCAAGTTGTAGTTGGGGAAGGGAAAACAAAGTTGTTGACTTGTTGTGTAATTCATTAATTAGTTTATTATTCTTTGTTATAAATAAGTTGGAGTATTCATTAAGGGCATTTTTGTCCCTTACTATTAATTTCCGTATGACAAACTACATGTTGGATAGGACTCCTACTTTTGCATATTTAATATGTTTTACTCTTAAAACGGGAATTCTCTCAATAAAATTACAATGTTTGATTAAGCATGCATTTTTTAAAATTGAACGTAAAATCATTGCGGCCGCGGCATGGTATTAGTAATATTCATGAAACAATTCCTTAAAATTTTGGAGGCCAAATGAGTGTATGACTAGTTTATGCAATCAATAATCACATACGGAGTATCAAATAAAATTACAACAAATTGTTTCAACATTTGTCACATGAAAATATTCCACGATTCCTCCAAATTCTTATATACTTTCCGCAAAGTGAAACAAATAAAATGGTGAAATAAATCCAAAAGTATAAAAAACGAGAATCAGTCAAATGCCGTAATAAAGAACTTTAAAAAGGCAATACGCGAATTCAGATGGCCCACCACCCTGGTTTTTTGCTCTTTTTTTGAAAGAAAAAAAAACAATCTGACTTTTCCCGAAATGGGACTAAAAAAGTTTGAAAATTCCAAAATAGGACTGTCATGTTTTTATTCCCAAAATAAGACTAATTATTGCCAAATTTGGAAAATACTGTCATGTTTGAAGTCTGGTACTGCCAAAACATGGCAATAATTAGTCCTATTTTGGGAATAAAAACATGGAAGTCCTATTTTGGAATTTCCAAACTTTTTTAGTCCCATTTTGGGTAATATCTCCTTTTTCCTTGAAGCACACAATCAAACCTACGGAGTAGGGCTGTGCCGCGTATCGATTTTCGTGTTTATCGGTTTCGGTTCGATTCGATTTGGAACGGGTTGAAAGAATTATTACCAAACAAAAATTATACTATTTTTCGGTTTGTTTCGGTTTGGAATTGTTAATTTTTAATAATGTATGAAGTTTTTTTTTGAATTTCTTTAGTTCGGTTTTGTTTGGTTATTATCGGTTTCAGTTCAGTTCGGTTTAATACGGTTTGCAAGAAATAGTACCAAACTCAAACCAAATTGCATACGGTTCGGTTTAGTTCGGTTTGGTACGGTTCAGTTCGATTAAACCAAACCGTTATGCCCACCCCTACTAGGGAATCTATTTTTTTAATCCACAACCGGTGGTCGTAGCTCAACTGGTAGCGAGGGAGTGCCACAAGGGTTAGGTCCCAGGTTAGAATCCCTGCAATTGCGATGAGAAGCTACTATGCTAAAAATGCATAGGGCCTCTGCAAGTATCGGGGACGGAGCCGTCCGGTCCAATTTATTTGCCAGACTGTGATTATAGTCCAATTTACATTCTCTCATCGTGCTATCCGGTCGGTGGTGGGGGCTTAGGGATGGGGTGTCATCCTTTTTTCTTTCTTTCTATTTTTTTAATCCACAGGTTTAGGTCGTAGGCTTCATTAGATTTAAATGGAACTGATCGAGAGTCTGAGCTTCAACAATTGCAAAAATGCATATACGAGTACATCATAAGGGATAAGGGTCCGATAGGGTTTCGAATTTACAAAAAAATGTCAAATAAGCCCATATATAGGATACTCTGTATGGCCGATGCCATTTGGGGTGGTTCCCGGTAAAATTTTTCGATGAAATTTTTTGAGCATCTTATTCATTAACTCTAGTTTACTCATATCAAATTTGAACTAAAAATTCAATCGGGAAGGCATTCAAATAAATTCTTGAAAATTACTGCGCAGTTAAAAGCGCAGTTATCTTCAAGAATTTATTTGAATGCCTTCCCGATTGAATTTTTAGTTCAAATTTGGTATGACTAAACTAGACTTAATGAATAAGATTCTCAACAAATTTAATAAAAAAATTCCATCGGAAACCACCCCAAATGGCGTCGGCCGGACAGAACATCTTATATAAAACCTTATTTGACATTTTTTTGTATGTTCGAGACCCTATCTGACCCTTATCCTACGTCATAATGATGTCTCATGCACATACGTAGTACGGAGTACATCATAAATGATGCATTATTCGGAGGGCCCACTACCCTGGGTCTTTGCTCTTTTCTTTTTTGAAAAAAAGCACTCTGGCTATTTCCTTGAAGCACAAATCAAACCTACCGAGTCTGTACATATATATAAATATAATGTGTCGAGATGTGTCGAGAGGAGTAGCAAGTTAAAGGAATAAAGAAAGATCGATTCACTATTATATTTGATGGAGGGCAAATTAAAGCAGAAAGCACGACGAGGATGGAACAAGTGCCTCCAATAGGTACACATATTATATTATTATGAGTTTATGGAATTCAAAATAATGCAGTACGTAGTATTATATTATTTATAAGTTTGTCGTGTGTTTTACTTATTAAGGTAATTCAACCATTTTTAATTCATTAGTATCAATAATTAGTTTTAACTTGTTAAGAGCTACAATTCGATATATAGTACGCTCAAAACGGATAACGGGTGAATGAGAAATTGATTCTCGAAGTTTACCCGATGGAAAAGCTCGGAAAAAAAGGATGAATTTCTAGTGTGTTATTTCCCACACCGGAAACCCAAGGGATTTGCAACCATTTATAAAGGGACTCCCCCCTTAAGGATTTAAGATTCCTTAGGGTAAAGGCTCTCTCCACGCGCGCGCGGGGGGGGGGGGGGGTGCAAATCAAATCCCGAAATCGGAGAAGGAAAACCGCGACTTGCGGGCGACCTGCAGACATGAATGTCGTCCAAAAATTTATCTCTCAAGAGATACGGTTTAATTTTTGTTTTCTTCCCGAAACGTTTAGTTTTTTCCTAGCGGCAGAAGTGCTCGGACAGAAGCCTACGGAACAGAACACCTCGTTGGTGTTCTGATGGCCTCGGAACAGAACCCCTCATGGGGTCTTTTGTTGGCCTCGGAACAAAACCCCTCACAGGGTGTTCTGGTGGGAGTCTTCTGTTGCGCATCTGAACCGTTACAACAATTAATGCCCAACGTTCTTATCTTTTAAATCAGCGTTAAATGGACAGTTCATGGTCCTCATGGGGTCTTTTGTTGGCCTCGGAACAGAACCCCTCACAGGGTGTTCTGGTGGGAGTCTTCTATTGCGCATCTGAACCGTTACAACAATTAATGCCCAACGTTCTTATCTTTTAAAGCAGCGTTAAATGGACAGTTCATGGATGATTCAATGCCCAACGGACTAGTCATTGATGCGTAGCACGAGCTTTCGCTAATTCTGCTCCATCTCATCTCTTGTTTTTCTTTAGTCATTTTAATTAATTTATTATAATTAATTTTCTTTATTTTCCGAAACACACCCAACAATACTATCTTTCAAAAGTTGAGATTCAAAGACACCCAAGGATGTAGCCAAATTCAATGACACCCAACAATACTATCTTTCAAAAGTTGAGATTCAAAGACACCCAAGGATGTAGCCAAATTCAATGACACCCAAGGATGAAGCTTGAGGTAGGCCGGTATAAAAATAGTTAGATAAATTTTTAAACATATATTTTTACACTAAAATTACAAAAAAATGGGATGGGCTGGGACCCGGTTAGCCCCTCTACCTCCGCTCCTGAAGACACCGATTGTGATTGACCTTTTTAAGTTTTTTTCTGTATTGTAATATACTTTATTTAGTCTGTAAATTCTTACGTATTGTTTTACAATTTTTTGCTATTCGGATATCTCATTATATTTTAATTTGTTCCGCCCCCAATAGTTCAATTTCTTGGATCCGCCACCAGGGCAGAGGTAGCAATAAGGTTAGGGGGGCCATTGCCCCTTCCAACTTTGTTATTTTTTAATACTATTAGTATTAGTCTATTAGATCATTTTTTTAAAAAAAATAGTCTATTAGATTAGTGAGTATGTGAAGGATATTCCAGTAGTTCATAATCTGCCTATTCGTATCCTCTTTTAGTTCGTTTCTGAAATTGTGATAGGCTATATTTTTCTTTTCATTTGTAATATTTTATTACTTAACTGATTTAATTATATATATGGTAAGCTATAATATTGTATTATTATGATTGGAATTGATAAAAGTGTCACATAGTATTATTATGATGGGAATTGATAGATACGGAGTACAAGTATAGGATTTTAGATTTATTACATTAGCCATTTTTAAATAGAATAAAAAACATCTATACAGCTTTGTTTCGAGCTCAGATTATATTTGGGAAAAAATAATGTGGTTCTATAAATTTGTGAGATATTACGTATTTGGTTTATGGAATCTAATAAATTGATCGACTCGGACATATGATAAAATTCATCTTAATTATATGACTATTTAATTTGGATAATTATATTGGAGAGTAATATATCTAATGCATTCTTGCCCCCCTCCCCCCATTATCAAATCCTGTCTCATCCCCTTTCCGCCACTACCTATGGTTGCAACTTGCAAACTTCATACTCCGTATCTTTTAATCATATCCGTACTTTTCACGGTTGCACCTACCTGTGGAATTAATTCAATTACATGCAATTTTTCTTTGCAGCACACCCTCAAAATAAACCTAAAGGTTATCCAACACAAACTATGGATAGAAACTCTCCACCGGTAATGAGGAATTCACTATTTCTCTGGGACAAGACAACGGAGAGGGGGTAAGTGGTTTGTTTGAAACACGATTATTATATTATTGATTACCGAGGAGACAATAATAATCTCATACATACATATACGGATTATATATTCATAAATAGATTTTGAATGAGATAAGAACAACTCTTATGGTGAGGAGAAATTATTTTAGTTTACAGCGTTACGTTTTTTATATAAAATTTTGCGCAGTCAACTTCAAAAAATTATTTGACTGCCTTTCTGATCGAATTCTGAGCTGATTTTTTTGTGTTGATAAACTAGACTTGATGGGAAAGAAAGTGTTTGAAGCAACAAAACTAGTTAAAAATTGGATTTATCGACAGGGTGAATACAGAGTTTCCATTTAAGATGGTTGAGAATTGGGTTTATTGACAGTCCAGTGTTGGAGAATGTCAAAACTTCACTTTAAAAATGTAATATACGGAGTAATAAGTTACGTAGTATGAAATAAAAAACAATTTGAAATTTAAGCAGTTCACAACTAATCTCCTTACGTTTGAAGAGAGCATTATACTAGAATATAATTCACCAGTGTTGGCCGAGTATTA